AGCTGACTCCTGAGAATCGATTCTAGGGTGTCCACATACTTTTGGTACGCACTGTAGAAGTTGCGCGGATAAGCTGCTTCCAACACGCTTTGCTGATATCTGGCGGAGTATTTTATCCACACGACATCTATCAAGTGCGGTGGCCGCCACGTCATTTCCGGTGACACGCCCAATCAGACTTCGAGATATCAAGGTATGTGTCACATACTACATTCCTCATTGTGTTCTACTGCTGAATCCATGGACCCTGCCGATTCTTCCCCTTTTTCTGTAGAAGTATTTTCATGGAGAGTACCCACGAAAATAAAAGGCAAAATGAAGTCCATGACAGTTGCTGGATCTGATGTATCGTATATCCGTTTCCTTGAAGCCTGAATGATGACCTAGCGCGCCCTCAAGTAATGTATCCGAGAGTGTATTCCAACGAAACGTAAATTCGTCAGTTCCCGGAGCCACTGTTCAAAAATTGAGAGGGAAACCGTGTTTCTTGGAGGTCTAGCAAGGTTTCCAAATATACTAAATTTCAAGGTTGATCTACCACAACCCGGATTTTATGGATTGGGGACCTCTTTACGACACCATATTCACACGCATCATTCGTGCAATGGGGCTTTGTGTCAGAGAAGGAAAAATAACAGTGAGTAGTTGCGCGATTTTCGTTTATTATATTTCATCAAGTCTCTAGAAGGTACGCTTCCGGATGTCATGATCATAATGACCGTTCAATATTACCAGGAACAAGAAATTGTCTTAAGGTCGGTGACGGCTCTGGTTCTTCCAGTCTCGATGGATTTGCTCGATTCGTGTCCTCTACTATCGGTGGGCCATGCAGGTTTGTAATAGATAGAGGTTGTACTAGGTAGGTGCGATGGCATAAAGGCAGAGTGGTCACTGGACGTTATTTGTGGAAGGGGTTTGGGAGCTGGTCCCGATTACATGCCGCAGCGCCCTTTCACCAATGATGACCGAGGACTTCGACCGCTCCACTTTCAGCCATCGCACCCACTGCCGTTCACAGATTAACAAAGGATGTTATTCCAAAGTGATTAATTGTGGATACATGAGGATTTCAAAGCTGAGGCTCACATCTACTCCATCACTGTCTATTCCTATTTAGATGAGAGATCACATTTGAAAGTGACCTTGGCAAAAGTCCAATTTGGGGAGGGGGCACTCCATTACGTTCTCCAATACTCCAATCTATAAAATAAGGAATGAGAGCCCTCACGACACGTCTTTCTGAAAAGTACCGCGGTAGTGTGAGGAGTTCCCACAATTTGGCCTGCAATGGTCCAGAAAACGGTCCTGGACCAGGAGAAAGGACACCTCCGCAAAGGGCTAAGGGTGCAGGAGCTCCAGGGTGGATCACCTGTGCAGAAAAGTGGATGGGATGTGGGCAGGTAGTGTGGAATGTAGGACATCCACCGGTCCTTATCAAAAGTACGCTCGAAATGAGTCGTTCACATTATCTTATCCGTAGTGTTAGAGAGCCCGAAAGGAGTGCTTTCGTAGCTCCTCAAAGTGGATTCTCACCTTTAAAGCGAGAGATTACGATAAAGTGCGTATGCAGCGTGGAAGTACATGCACCATTGGAAGCAGTAGTCAGGGGCCCAAGGAAACGAAATGTTGCGTTTTTGTGGCAAAGGTGCGCTAGTTGCAGCGTACTGGACTTGCCATTCCGCTTCAAATGATTGAAGTACGGAAGATTATCAACTCTTGCTGACGACGATGTGGAGTCCCATGTGCTCGTGTGACCGTCGCCCATGTAGTGCACTTCATGTTCATCAACATCACAGCAGATAATACCCAATTCAGAACTAGCCAAACTTCAACACACAACAAGATTTAGGGTCGCACCAGGGTCAACTAGCTGTTGAGCACAATATCTCTCCCTGGTTAGATCATGAGACTCTTCAATAAATACTCGAAATATGTGTTGTTGCAGCTGCCAAAAACAACTTGAGAAAATGATGAGGACAATAGAACCATTTTTGCATCCAGCAAATGAAGGCGATCACACGGCTCTCGTGCTCAGCTTCCTTCAATACCTCATTCGGGAGTTCCTTGGTCGGTACGAAGACGAGAGAATAAAGAAGATTAAGAGAAAAGTCGGTTTTTCTGAGGTTCATCGAAGGAAAGCATGCACTTTACATCAACAACTTTAGGTTCCTCTGAAATACTATCTTAAAGATACAGACGTTAGACTATTTGTGGACACACTACTCCAGTCGATTCTTTACTCACTCTATTCGAAAAGATGGGAAAAGTTATGACGTAAGTACTAGTGACCCACAAAAAGCTCGGAACATGCGCCTAAAGTATTCATTCCAGCTACCTGCAAAACTTCTTATGATGCTTGGGACCCTGGAGCCTGGACACGTGTTCCCCCGTTTCTTAGACAAGTGCGGTTCAAGGCAGTGAGCACGAGGCTAGACGGAAGAAAGGGTTCTGTGACGTTATCGTGCACTCAATTACGCAGGTTTTTGCGTGGAGGCGCGTCGAGACCACACCCCATCGCGGGTGAAATCACCGATCCAGTCGTGCTATACGAAGTTATGCGAAGGAAGAGACGCAGATGCGGCAAAGGACGAGTCGCAGCGCGTGTGCTGTGCGATATGAGACGTAGTATGGTACACTCTATTTACCCTGACGCCTAACCGCTACAGTATGCGCTGCGACTCGTTTGCTCACATCTGCGTCTCTTCCTTCGCCGCGCGACGGGCTCTTGGGACACCCACTGAAGCACCTACGAGTAATTCAATCTCCTTCCCTTCGTCCATCGTTTTGACTGTCTGTAAAAGAATTAGTGTTGAACAAGCATAGAAGCAACCATTTTCAGCGTCTATCCAGCTGTGTTCGCTGTGTGTGAACCACATCGTTTGACGCAAACCCTTGACTGCATGTTTGAACTGGTGTTTATCATCGCCAGCGACGAGAAACAGGGAATCGAACGGCGAAAGATGGAGAAGGACTGGGTAGCAGAAATGGAAAAGGTACTTTAACTTGTTCTATGGTAGTCTTCGAGCTTAGTCGCAGTTAGTGCCGCAGTGAGTGAGAATTCTTGAAGATGACGGTGCAATCAAGCTAACATAGTTTCGTTAGACACTTAGCAAGATGCCTGCATATCTTCTCTTTCCGATGCCCGCGCTTAGGAATCTTGACTCGCCTCATAGATAACAGGCGCAAAATAAGTGAAACTTTTAATCGGTATAATGTGGCACTAAGCCTGTTTTTCAAAAGGCTCGTCCTGTTCCATACGCTCAAAAGATTTCGCCTGAAATCGACCGCCTTGTATCAACACAAGTTTTGACGCCTATCGAAGAATGGGCCGCTCCTGGAGCACGGCTGGGTTTGAAAAAAAAAACTCTTCAAAGCCAGCCGTGCTCCAAGAGCCTCGCTCTTGCACTTTGAGACACGGTGCGACCAATCTAGTGAGTTACTTGGCTGAAAAATGAAAAAAGAGGTGTCAATAGGACTACTAATGAAGCAGAAAGCAAAAGAAAGCTCAGAAAACGCTGAAATTGAGGGCCTTTTTGTGTGAGATCGACCATGGTATCACGGAGAGACGCACCGCGGAGGAGAGGGTCAACGTGAAAGTGCACGTTGTAAAAGATGACGTAGACGCCACAGAAGGCTGCGAATGGTAGCAGTCAACGGTCAAAGGAAGGCATTAGCGCCTTTGGGGGGCACTTCTAACCATAAGTCGCGAAAGTGCCACGATCCCTGTGTCTAGAGCCTACTACTTCACTCGTGAGGGATATTTCGCTG